GAAACCCCCCCCCCCCCCAACAATGTAAATCTAAAAGGCTTTTTTTGTGTTTGTCATTCCACTTTAGTAGGCAAGTGAAAAAACATAAATGTTGGTTTTTGGTACATACAAAAGAAAAGCCAGCTATACTGAAACTGATAACTCCGTAAAGGTGGACTACATCAATACTTTGGGTCTCAAAGATCTCATAACCCAGTGGCAAGGCTTCACTGAAGCCATTGTTTCCATCCTTTCCCACAGGAGCAAAAAGGAACCTGTCACTGAGCTAGATTCTGGTCATTTGACTTACTAAGCCAACTACCTTTAGAATCATTAGGCTGAAGCCTAACAGTATAAAGCGTCTTAACTGTACAAAACTGGAGGCCAATAAAATTAAATCCAGCACCTGCACAAAACTGACCCAATGGAGCCACTTGGGTGGAATAGTAGAGAATTTGCTACAAAAATGGCAACGACCTTTTAGAATCTCAAAACATGGACCTCCTTCAAAACTATTCACCCTAGAGCAGAGTGATGTTTAGACACATTTAAGGCCGAATTCAGAGCTGTGCTTTGTTACCACAACACAAGGAACATGTACACATTGCCAGCATAAAACAGATGTAAGCTATCTGCATGTTGTAAACAGGTGCATGTCTGTGTGGCAGTATATTAGCAGCCCATTAAAAATGAATTGGCTGCCTTATCTCAACACAAGTGCGAGCACACTAAATATGTGAATGCATTACAAAAAGATATACCCAACCCGTACTGAATGTTTTGGTAAACAAGTCGGCCTTTTCAAAGGCAACAGCCCCATAATATAGCAATAAGCAGCTTAGGCACCTTGTTTTCTACTATCCTCTAAAAGTAGGGGTACTGAAACATTGACACTCCAGCTGTGATACTACAAGTGCCATAAGACACTGTAGAACTGACAGCCCCAGCCACCTGATAGGATTTATAGTTCCAAATGAACACACACTTCCAGTATCAACCTTCAGATACACAGCAAACTCTGCACACCAATGCAGTCCGTTCACACGCAAGGGGGGGATGCTTTATGCACTATTTTTTTCACTGGTCTGGGATGCACCAAAATGCATGTAAACACATCAAAAACATGCAAACACATTGGACTGTACCAGAAAGCCCACTTAAGCTAAACAAGAATGTGTCAAAAACACACTGCACTTGTAGATCTGGTCCAGACATCGTGTAAACAAGCCCTTAAAGCAGAACTGAAGCAGTTTTAGATAAAGGGGTGACTAACCCATGGCCAGTTTGTTTTGCCATCTGTGTCCCATTGGAGATTTCCCTTCACTTCCTGTCTGACAACCACAACAGGAAAAGCAAATCCCTCCAATGTAATGTAGATCTGCAGGGTCACAGGAAAAAGTCACCCACTAGATTTTCCCACCCATTCCTGTTCTGATGAGCCCAAAAGGTGGCATTTCCCCCCCCCACTCAGTGATAACCATTAACTAGGACACAGTGAATTTCCCTTACAGGGACAAGGACAGCAAAGTGTTTTAATCCCTCTCCACTTGAGCCAAACAGAAAAGAAGCTTTGCCTTCCACTGCACTTTAAGGGTACCATTAACACCATGATGTGCATTGGCACATTGCATCAAAATGAACAGATTCAAACAAAAATAGGGCAGGCTGCATTTCATCACAGCAGAAATAATGCCATGCACTGTACCACAGTATGTTACACCACAGGCAATGTAAAATGCAGTTCCAGCTTGTCCTAGTTACCTGGATGCCCATGATGCTGGTTCACCTGCTTGCTAATATTGACTGGCAAAGTTTGCTCTAATCTAACCAGACAGACCACCAATAAGCCTAATCTGAACATCCACAACTGCTCACAAGGGGTATGTCAAGAGCCTGCACAAGCAGAGACACAGGAGCCGTAGGGATACTATACAGTAGTCACCCTCAGTGGGCACCCTTTAGGGTTCAGTTGAAGGGACTGATGAAGTGTCAGCTGGAATGTACTAAGCGTAGTCCATACACAGGTGACGGCCAAGCCCATAGATTCCCTGCAAGTAGGCTACAGAAAGCGGACGATGTGATCAGGAGACCGCCCTGTAGTCATGACGGCTCCCAGCCTTTGATGCCCGTGTAGAAGGCCCGCACATCACTGCCAGGATAAAGGCAATGATCTAACTCCACCTTCCCCGCGTGTGCAGCCTTCTAATGGCTCCCATACACAGGCAATGAGCGACACATGTGGGAGACAATGGTGTGGGCCGCACAGGCCGAGGGCTGGTGACAAAGCCCGGTACCACGTGTCAGCCCACCGCCGTACGGCCGGCTGTGCACGAGCCGGCATCGCCCTGTCGCGGCGGCCTAGCAGGAGCACCCCTCCCCCCTCAGGCTGGATGACTATGCGCTCCCCACAGGGCCGCCGTGTCATAGCGGCTTCACGCTGGGCTGAGCGCGGGGACTGCAGCACTGGAGGCGAAGGCGGCACCGGCAAAGCCCTCTCCTCCCAGTTCACCTCCCGCTCGGCATGGCATGCGCGCAGGCCTCGCGCTGTAGCCAGATAGAGGCCCCCCTCAGTCCCCGCCCGTGCCGGCCTCACCCTGTCCCCGCCGCCTGTCTCCTTCCCCTTCTCCCTCTGCCGGCTTTCCGCGCGAAACAGCCACGTACATCAGTCGTCATGCAAACCACCCTCTAACAGGAGGACCCGGGCGCCATGCTAACCCTTCCTTACCTTCCAACAAAAAAAAGGAACGTCACTGCGCAAACGCGCCCAATTTCACTGCGGCAGCCCTAGTAGGCGGGGACAACAGAAGCTTCTCCCTGAGCGGCCCCTCCGCTTCCGCTTTTATGTTGGGCGGTGACAGAATTTACAATGGACGGGCCGCGAGGGTGGGCGTGGCCGCGGCGTCAAGATCCGGCGCGAAGTGACACATGCATGCCTTATGCCCCACCCACCTTGGATTGCGTCACCGCTGCAGTGTGAGCGGCCTAGTGTGTGTGTGTGTGTGTGTGTGTGTGTGTGTGTGTGTGTGTGTGTGTGTGTGTTTTGGAGCTGAGCCTAGGTGCTGAGGCCTGAGCTCCTGCATAGAGCCTGCTGCCTGGAGTACAATGCTAGCCTTCAGTAATCCTCAGAATTGCTCATTAATAGCTGAATAAATTGTCTATTTTGTGTGCTATTCATTGTTTTCTATTAAAAAGTTCTTAAGTGACAATGTACCAAGTTCAATAAACACAGGATGATCTGCAAAGGAGATCTGAAACAAGGCATCAGTAGACAACATAGATGCTGGGCCTGCTGCGACAGGGACGCACTCAACCGAGCATAACATTAATCATTTAGGGCTCATATAGACAGGCATTGTCCAACGCTGCTCTTCGTACCAGTGATTTAATTTAGACTTACTGTAGGCGATCAGGATAACAACTAAAAGGGACAGTGTGGCTCCTCCCACCAGAACGTGACACCCCACTGCAGATACTCCCCCGCTTTTTCTTGGTAGTTACATTGGAATTCCATCCACAAGCCATTGAGCCTCTTGTCAGGTGTAATAATTACTCTATAATTCATTCATTTGTACCCACTGATTACTACAACCAGCACTCTACTTCCGGTGCTGCCTATGAAAGCTGCCTCTCTCATACAGTGGTGCTATCCTATGACTAAGGTCTATGACTAAGTGCCTGTGTGTGTGAAACATGTTAGAAGTGTCTTTTCATCTCCTGTGTAATTGATTTTACGGATCAATATAGAAGCTGCTTTTGGAATATGTCGGTGTTCACTTTTTCTGCAACAGTGATGCAATCTTGTCATTTATCTACCTTTCCTCTCCCCTTGTCCATTCACAGAAAGCCAGGGATGCTGTGAACAGAGTACAAAGTGTTCTCAGAATGGGCAAGGGTTGTAGCTCTCATACAGCGAAGTGATCCTGTTGTTTATCTACCTTTCCTCTTCCCTTGTCCATTCACATAATGTCTTGTATGCTGTGAACAAAATACAAACTGTTATCAGAATGGACAAGGGTTGCAGCTCTAAAAGAGTAAAGTGATCCTGTTGTTTATCTGCCCTCCTTTCCTCTCCCCTTGTCCATTCACAGAAAGCCTGGGATGCTGTGAATAGAATACAAAGTGTTGTCAGAATGACATAGGATCGGAACAATTGTGGAGCTACTAACATTGGAGTGTGACAGAAACTATTAAAAAATAATAATATGTGAAACATAATATTTAAGTTTGGTTTACATTGTGTCCCTTTTACACTTACCTGTTCTTTGGACACTGCACGTATGGTCCTCGTGGTCAGTTGACCCCTCCCTCTTTTTCAACGGGCATAACTCTTTTTTCCAGGTATGTTTATATTGTAAAGCGCTGTGCAAACTATTGGCGCTATATAAATCCTGTATAATAATAATAATGTTTTGTATTGTGCTTCTTGCATCCTTTGTGTATGCTTGTGTTTTCGCCCGAGCTGTAGTGGCTGGGTTTCTACATTTATGTTAAATTTGTGGTGGATGTTTTTAATGGTTACGTTTACTGTTGGAGCCTGAGCTGGAATGGCTAGGCTCTCTATTTTTTGGTATTTTCTTGTTATTTATTTATTTTAATAACAAATGTATGAGTGATTAATAAAATAAAAGGGCCGTGGCCAGTTCATTGCACTTTAATTTGTTCTAAGTCTTTATTTCAATACATTTATCATATGTGTAATTACTGTCTACAGTCCCATGGACAAGGGTTGCAGCTCTCATACAGTAAAGTGATCCTGTTGTTTATCTACCTTTCCTTTCCTTTTGTCTATTCACAAGATGTCTTGTATGCTGTGAACAGAATACAAAGTGTTCTCAGAATGGACAAGTGTTGCAGCTCTTATACAGTGAAGTAATCCTGTTGTTTATCTTGCTTTCCTTTTGTCCATTCACAAGATGTCTTGTATGCTGTGAACAGAATACAAAGTGTTCTCAGAATGGACAAGGGCTGCAGCTCTTATACAGTGAAGTGATCCTGTTGTTTATCTATCTTTCCTTTCCTTTTGTCAGTTCACCAGATGTCTTGTATGCTGTGAACAGAATACAAAGTTTTCTCAGAATGGACAAGGGTTGCAGCTCTCATACAGTGAAGTGATCCTGTTGTTTATCTACCTTTCCTTTCCTTTTGTCCATTCACCAGATGTCTTGTATGCTGTGAACAGAGTACAAAGAGTTCTCAGAATGGACAAGAGCTGTGGCTCTCATACAGTGAAGTGATCCTGTTGTTTATCAGCCCTCCTCTTCACTTGTTCATTCAAGGAATGTCTTGTTTTAATTAGATTTTTCATATGTACGTACATACACAAATCTACCAATCTATGGAAGGCCTTAGTCTAACTGTGATTTTCTTTAGTTGTCTTTCAGGACAGCACATAAGAGAATATGAGAGAACTTACCAGGCTAGAAGGGAACTACAGGTTGAAGGACCTTCCTTTTCTGGTGGATAAAGTTCTAAAAGCTTGACTCTGTAGCCAGTTCTGGGGTAGCGCTGTGTCTCAGCACAGGACATGGATAAAGCTCTGGTGGAATGGGCCAGGAGATCCAGCATGGACACCATATCCATTACTCAATAGGCTTCTTAAAGGAGTTCTAATATCTCAGCATACACTATCCTGTTGTAACATCAGCATTGTGACAGGAATACATACTAGAGTTGTGTTTCATAATGCAATCAATGCTTGCTTGAAAAAATCCCTTTTATGTAGTGAGTTCTGCCTTCTGTCTGCCCATCACTTTCAACACCTTCCTGGACCGCCAGTGTGCTTTGTGTCTCTTTCCCTGTTGCTTGATGTTATGCAGTCTTGATTTCTCAAGACTAGTACATAACAAAACACGGATTCCATCCAGGAAGCAATGATAATGTTATATTGTTCAGATGTTGAGTTGTTATTCAGAAGGCAGGCTCTGAGAGAGCTGTGACACAAAGAAGTGCACATTTATGGGGCTGAGTGAAATTGTGTCAGTGCATCGATAAAGTACATCCTATGGGCTTCTCCAATAAGTACGTTTACAAACTTCTAGATCGATGTGGTTATTAAGGCTGGGATAGAACTTGTGGAAATTCAATATTTAAAAAACATATTTATAGCGTTTGACCATGGATACTCTTTATATATAGCTTGTCAATCAGTAGCTGGCCACGCCCATTCCTGCCCACTGCTTTCTGAATTGGCAGAACTGAATGTGCTGCTGAAACCCTCCCTCTGGTAGCTGCAGTGTTGGGGAGGGGGGGCATGTGAGACAGAATTGAATGAGGAGTTTAATCGTGGGAGGTCAAATATTTTAATTTATGGGGCTCTTGCATCACATAGTTACTTCCACACAGGAGCCTTTAGATGTATTTTAAGCAGAGCAAACGTCAGCAAAGATATTTCTGAAGTATATGAGAGCGCATAACATAAGTTTAGGGTGGAGAAAAGTAAATGGTGGCTATGCGTAAAATGGAGTTGAAGTGATGTCTTTCAATTATTGTATATAATGTACCTTGGATGGAAACTGCTGTTGTTTGATTATATTGAGTTTGTTTTGGGGGGATATTCACAAAGATGCCGAAGGCAGCCGAGTGAATAAAGCAGCCGAAGTCAAGTTAGACGAATGCTGTTTGGCTATTCACTTCAGTCTTGTACGGATGATTTCAGCCGCACATCAGCTACAATCAGTCGTACATCAGCTGCCTTCGGTCAGGCGAACATGCTCGGCATGTTTGGCTGAGCCGAAGTGCAGAGGGAGTTCGACTCAGCTGATCCAACATCTGGATCGGCTGAGCCGAAGCTCCGGCAGCTTACTCGCTGCTGTTCGCCCCTATGCCAAGCGGCATTCGGCTCGGCTATTCTGCTCGGTACCTCCAAGGTACCGAGCTGAATAGAAATGAAAAAAAGAAAAAAAAAAGTTGAAAAATGATTTTAAAAATGATAAAAAGTAGGAAAGTAAAAAAAAAACACAACACATTTTAAAGAAAAAAACAATTGGGCAGAACTAGCGGTGACAGCTAGCTCCGCCCAAGTGTTTCCTATTGGCCGGAACCTGCCAGAGTCTTAACAACTGGACAGAGCCAGCCGTGACGTCACGGCTTGCTTCACCCAGTTGTTATTGTTTTCTGACAGATCAGCGTCCCCAGGTCATTTAGGGACGCTGATCTGTCATTACAACTGGGCGGAGTGAGCTGTGAGATCACGGCTGGCTCCTCACAGCTGTCATTTACTTGGAGATCGGTCGGCTTCGGCCAACTGTTCTTCGCGCTTTGGGTGTCACTACGGCTCACTCGAGCCGAAGCATAAACTGAACCAAAGGACAGAAGAGAGCTAATGGATCAGCTGAAGCTATAGCTGGGTCTTTCAGCTCTTTAGTGAATAACCCCCTTGGTGTTATTGTTGCGATACACAAGATACGACCAGTTCCGGTGGAGTAGTGAATCATGCACACAATGGGGCAATTAATCAAAACTGGAGCAGACAGAATCTGGAGCAGTTACCCATAATAACCAATCAGCTTCTCTCTTCAGTTTGTACAGTTAAGCTTAGAAAAGGAAAGATAAAAACTGATTGGTTGCCATGAACAGCTGCTCCATATTCTGTCTGCTCCATTTTTGATAAATTCTCCTTAATGCATTTCCTCCACCTCTATGTGTAAATAATGTGTGGCATTACAGCTAAAAGAAGATACATTTTTGGTTGTTTGAGTCTCCTGAAATGTAAACAGACCTTTATGCACATATAAAGGTAGTGATTAGACATGTGCAATTCGTTTCGTTCCGAAACTTAATTCGGACGAAATTCTGGAAATTCGGAGATTCGGATGTA